AACCTATATTAAGCATTCAGATAACTTTTGCTTAAACTTGAATTGGAGTCTGTTTGGTTTAGCTACTTACAGTTAATCTTTAATCTAACAAATAATAATATTTGGAGCTAAAACGAAGGGAGCCCATTTTACACTGCGAATCTAGTGCACAATTCTAAATAGAGCACAATGGTACAGACTACAGGATACAGAGGAAAGGATGTGAAATGTCCCCTAGCCTTTTTTTGGCAACTTCCCATGTTATTCGAGAATTTTTTTCAGATTTAATTTCATAGGAAGTAGCTAAAAAGAGACAGGTAAATCCTATGAGGGAAAAAATTTTTTATATAAGCCCCTCTCTTTCTTTTTTCTAACCCTATATATATTGGCCAAAATTATAAAAAAAAAAAAAAAAGTAGTTAATTATGTAGACTAGGGACTATTAATAATCGGATTTTTTTTTTTTTTAATTTAAATCGCCTAAGGGTCTTCCTGGATTCCAGCTTCCTGTGGCTTCTCTGCCGAGGCATTTTTACTGTCATCCACCGCGGCAACAGCGGCGGCTGTTCCGGTAAGCGTCTTGGCTCTTTCTACCTCGAAATTCCAATCCGTTCTAGCCAAAACCACCATCATGGTCACCGCACACGACATCTGTGCAGCAAGAAGACCCATCCAGAGACCCCGGAAATCAAACCCTGCAAAAAATGCTAATCCCACAGCCACCGGCGTACCCACCAGGTAAAAACACCCCAGGTTTATGTTTGCCCCGACTTTCGGCCTCGCCGTGCCTCTTAGCACGCCGCATCCAGTTGTTTGCGGGCAATTTCCGAGCTCGCAGAGCCCAATTATGGGCAGAACCGTTGATGTCAATTTGACAATCACTTCATCTTGAGTAAACATGATTGCCCATTTGTGCCTAACCGTAATTGCGAATACCATCGCCGAGCACCCAAGGAAGATGGCACCGGAAAGGCCAACGAAGGCTGCGCGCCTAGCCCTTCGGGGTTGCTCTGCTCCTAGTTCGTTTCCGACTCTGGTTGACACACTGAAGCTAAGAGATGATGGGAAAATGTAAATTAGCGATGTGGTTTGAATCAGAATCCCCATTGAAGCAACGGTGTCTCTTGGGTTAATCAACAATCCGCAGAGCAAGATCATGATCTCGTACCACCACCATTCAAGGCAAACGGAAATGCAGCTGGGAATTGCCAGATTGAGCAGAGTCTTCCATTCTTTGAAGCATTCCATCGAGAAACCTCCCCACGTCTTTTCATGGACGCGGGAGATGAGGATATAAAGGACTATCAAGGCTACGAGATTGAAGTTTGTCAACACCCCACTGAGGGCAACTCCTTTGACCCCCAATTCAAAGTGTGAGACTAGGAAGTAATTAATGGGTATGTGAAAAAGGAGGGACAAAATTGCACAGAAGGTTAGAGGCAGAGTTATGGATTGAGTTCGGAGATAGATTCTCAATGGGTTCAGAAGAGATTGGGCTAAGAGGTCAGGGAGAGAGTAAAGAAGGTATAATTGTGCTTCTGCTGCAATACTTTCATCTTGCCCGCAGAAGAGTAGGATTCTTTTCATATTTAGCCAAAGAAGAGAAATGGGAATTGAGGTAAAAATGAGAAGAAGTACTGTTCTTTGCAAGGTGAGGCCTAGAAGTTTGTAACTCTTGGCACCAAAAGCTTGAACACAGAAGCATTCCATTCCCATGGCAAGCCCGGAAAGAATGGAGTAGCCAGTGATATTAGCAAATACAATAGCTAGTGAACCACCAGCTAAGGCCAGCTCGCCTTGACGGCCAAGAAAGATCATGGATATCAATGGGCGGAGGTAGAGCATGAGGCCTGTTAGTATCATGGGAAATGCTATTTTAGCAATGGATATTGCTTCCTTGACTACAGGACTCATCTCAGCATTTTCGGGCTCAATTTCTGGGGCCTTCGTTATCAATGGCGTGTGTATGTTGGGATTTTCAGGGTCGTCTTTGTTCGGCAGACGGTATGAGTGAGGTGGATTGCAATTGCAGGGATAAGAGGAGGAAGCCAGTTGACACATTTTTTAATAAAAAATTAGTAGGAACTAATGTTGAACAGGGAGCAAAGGAAGGGATTGAGAAGCGCAGAAGGTTGAGGGGGAGTTTAGGAAAGAAACGTCCCACGGTATTTATAGAAGTTGGGAGGAATTTTATAAAGCCAACTTGGCCTTGAATTTTTGCAACCGAGAAAGCATTTTTTTTGTGATGTATATAAACGTAGTAATATAATGGACTCTGTATAACGTATTAGAAGGTGAGAATCCATGTCGTTAACTATAAGATTCGAAATTTAGTACTTTCATTTTTCGTTCTTTCCATTAACGCATTCCATGCTCTGATTTTCAATTCACACGGTTTTTACAAAATAGAAAAGACAAGATTTTGCATTAAAGTAATTTAGGGGAGTCAAAGGTGGTGTTGTGGCGTTTATTGGGACCACTGTAGGAACAGCAGCAGAAAGTGTACTTTACTCTGGGAAGCAACAAAATGGGTGTTGGTCTCTTAGTGTATGGACTCATTTGGAAACGAACCAAAATGCCTATCAGGTTATAGGACTCGCTTGCCACCGCTAATTTATCCGCTTTGGCCTTTGTGGATGGGCCGGCCTTGCGATTGCGCCATTTGAGTGTTTAAGGTGTCACTTTAATATTGGCCAAAAGTATGTGTTTAGTCAATTACTTTATTAAATTTAAAGTTTTTAATTTTTTATTTTATATTATAAGATTTTTAGTTCTTAAATTTAAAATTTTAATGATTCTAAACTTTAAATTAACGGAATTCATTAACTTTTTATTAAAGTGAAAACAAAATATTTATATAATTAATTTTCAAAAATTAAAAATATAATAATTTAGTTCAAAAGTTTAAAAATTTTAAAAATTAGCAAACTAGAAATAATTAATAAATGATTTTCTTACATGCACTAGAATAGTATTAGATATCTATAATCAAATTGAAAAAAAAAAATCTGACTAAGATTAAAGAAAATTTTTTAATTAAGTTAACATAGAAAATTTAAGAGACTAATATAGTTAAAAAATTTTCTTTAATTTCAATTAGATTTTTTTTTTCAAATTGAGCTAATCACTCGATTTAATTATAAATAACTAATACTATTCTCATATATGTAGCAAAATCATTTACTAATTATTTTTAATTTACTAATTTTTTTTTTAATTTTTAAGCTTTTAGAATCAAATTTTTACATTTTAATTTTTGAGGATTGATTTTGTAAATATTTTATTTTCACTTTAACAAAGAGTTAATGGATTCCATTAGTTTAGGGATTAAAATTTTCAAACCTTTAAGTTTAGGGGATAAAAACTTCATAAGGTAAGGTGAGAAGTTAAAAACATCAAACTTATTAAGGTGAGAGGCTAAATGCGTACTTTGGTCATTGAATATTTAAGGTAGTTTTGTCTTTTTTCTTTTTTGTTTTGGGTCATGTATTCAAGATTAAAGAATTCTTCATATATTTAGTAACTAGGGGAAAAATTGGATGGATTGTGTGCTAGAGTTGGTTTATTCAATTATTGGGGGTGAGTTAGCTTAGTTGTGACATAGAGTTGGTTCATTCAACTTAGCCAAGAATTAGATTGGTCAACTTGGCCATGGTTCTTGGTCAACTTGATTTGGTGATGGCTCTAGGTTGAGTAAACTCAATCATATATGTCCCATGGTTGACTCAGCTCGAGTCTAACTCAAGATTGGGTCAACTAATCTATGATCCAAGGTCGGCTAGATCAACTTAAAAATGTTAAAAAGTAATTTTGCTCAATTGTGACTTGGGTTTAGGTTGACTTAATTGTGATAGAGTTGGTTGGAAAACAATTTAGGACCAAGACAACTTAGACTATGACTTGGGGTTAATTAGGGTTAATTGGTGGTTAATAAGAAATGGCTCAATCAACTGAATTTAATTATGACATGGAATTAGGATTACCAATTTGACCTTGACCCAAGAAAAAATTAACAATACTATGATCATGGGTTGGATTGGTCGACTTAGCCTTGATTGCAAGTGTTTGGGTTGGCTCAACCATGATATGGAACCCGATCGACTTGTTGAGATTTAGAGTCATTTTAGTCAACTCAACCATAAGTTATGATCAACCAACTTGATCATAACCAACTTTGGGGTTTACTCAAGTCAATGAAGTAGCTAAATTATACTATTCAAGTTCTTACTTATCTCCCTCCTTTGACTTTTTATTACAAAGGGGTTTGAAGGGGCCTAGGCCCCCTAAAAAATTAAAAATGAAAATTCAGTCCTTTAATTTTTACTTGTATGATTTTTATCCTTAAATTCTTTATTTCAAAGGATTTTAATATTTTCAAATTTCTTTATCAATTAGAGATTCTTGAGTTTTTTTTTTTAATTCTTTAAACATAAAATATTTATTTGAACTTGTTTAATGAACTCATAAATCTTTAATTTATACTAGATTAACGTTTATTTCAAGTTATTTATATAATTCATAATTCATGTATTCATACCAATCAATTATAACCATAAAAAATATCATAATGTAAAATCATGTGATCTTAGCTACCAACTTACCATTCTACAATTTACAATATATTCCCGGTCCGATCCCAAACAAAATTGCAATTTTGATAACTTTGGGGAAAAAATGGTTTTGGAACAAAATGAAAATTAATTTCTTTCAATTTTTTTTATGCTATTGATAGAGAGATTGGTCTAAAATTTAGCATATATTTTATTATAAATAGAATATGTAACTCATTTTGAATGCTCAAATTATTTAAATAAGGGGAGCGACCATTTTGTATTTGGCTTCATTCAATAAGTAAACATGGGTAAACTCCATAAATAATCACCTACCGTTACCATAACTTTCAATTTAGTCACTCTCCTTTAAAATTTATAAACCTAGTCACTCATCTTTAATTTAACTTCCGTCCGTTCATCACTTCTGTCAACTCATGCCCGCCTTTGTCAATTCTCTCAGCTTTTTTGCTGACATGGCATATTTTATGCTGACATGGCACTAAAGTGGCCAACTCTATCATGTAATCATTTTGCGTGGCGCTCGCATGAAAAAAAAAAAAACGATTTTTCTTTGCAATAAATAATCTTCCGGCAACAAAAATAAAAATCGTGGACCTTAAAATATCATCTTACATGGCACCTTCATGAAAACAATACATTTTTTTTTTTTTGCATTAAAATCTTTTTTTGGCCAAATAAAAAGATAACTTATTCATATGTAACCTGTATTGCCTTTTCCTTAAAAATATAAACATAAAACAAGACAATATGTTCACACTAGCCACTAAAAGGTACTGTATAATATAATTTCCAACAAAAATATTATTTCCAACAAAACAAAACACAATATTCACCAAATGAAAATTTTAAATATGAAAAATAGTAATCAATCTAAAATCATTTCCACTTTTTCCACTTTGTACAGTCAACTTGTAGTAAAAAAAAAAAAAGAATAAAATTTTCATATCAAAGAACTTAGCAAAAA